CCGGCATGTCCCGCCCGTAGCCCGACCGGCGCCTGCACCGGCTTCGACCCGCTTGCGCCCGCTGACTTTGAACCAACACCTTTTCCTCCCGCACTCCCCCCTTCTCCCCTCCCCCGCTCCCCCCCCTCCCCCTTCCCCAATGCCGCTGTGCCTTCCCGCGTCCGCGTCCCTGGTCTTCCTGGCCCCGGTCGCGGGGGGGTTCGCCCCGCGCGAGCAGGTTTTGGATTCGTTCGGCCTCGAAGAGTCGGATTTACCCTGGGCTATGGACCCAGGGGCCGCCTCCCTCCGAGCCTCGCGCACGACGTCGAGTCAGACTCGGAGGCCTCCGACTTTGGCTGACCGTCGGTGATGTTCTGGCTTCAAGCCCGTCCCTAACCCTCACTCCCTCTCCGGCCCTCGTCACCTCTGCCGAATTCAGCCCACGACGCTGGAGGATCGACGAGCTTCCGGGCGCTTGCGGCCCCGGTTTGGGCCTCTGGGGGCCCTTGGAGGCCTCGGGGGACATGTTTGGGACGTCCACGGACATGTGGCGACGTCTAGGGGGTCAGGATCCAGGGCTCCAGGGCGGCACTGAAGCTTCCCATCTCTTTCCCCCCATCCTCCTTCTCCTCCTCCGCCCTCGGGTCCGTCTCCCACCTCCGCCTCCCTCCTCCTCATTCTCATTTCTCCTCCTCCTCCCTCCTGATCCTGCTCCTTCTCTTCTGTACTCACCCCGCCTCCTGCGTGGTAGGCAACACGTCCACCACCACCACCACCACCACCACCACCACCACCCACCACCACCACCAACCACCACACACCACCACCACCACCACCACCACCACCAACCACAACCACCACCACCCACCACCACCACCACCACCACCACCACCACCACCACCACCACCACCACCTCCTCCTCCTCCTCCTCCTCCTCCTACTCCTCCTCCTTCTCCCCTCCTCACCTACGAGATATCGAAGCTGGAGCGATATCGATGTCCCATAATCCCTTTTGGCGAAAGCAATTGGTTTAATTCGCTAGGCCTTCCCGAACAACCTTTTCCCGCCCTCCAGGGAGATGTTTACCCCTTGCTATGCCCCATCCCTGGTGGTCTGTACTGGGGAGGTCGCTCATGGTTGGAGAGCTCGTGATTGCCCAAGGTGTTTCCAAAGGGCAAATATTGCCTCCAAGATGGTGGCCTCCATCATACCCCACGAGGCTGCAACAAGGCCCCGAGGGCGTCATAGTGGTCCTGACGTGCCCCCAAGCTTCCCACATAGCTCGCCGATATGCCAAACTAACTGACAAGCAGTATGTATTTTGAGCGTCTGTCGCTTTCTCGCCTTTTTGAGTCCCCTTGGGCATATGGTGCCTGATGATGGCACGTGGTCCTCTAGGGTCCTATTCGGGCCCAGAAGGGCCTCCAATAGCACCCCAAGGGGGCGGTCTTGAGGCTCACCAGCGGGACGGATGTTATGTAGGACTATCGTTTTGTCACTGTCCTTCAGAATGGTCCCAGGTAAGACCTGGAGGACCCCAAAAGGGCTCCAAGGAAAGGGGATGACCCACATCCGATCCGAGACACGAGCCTCCAGAGAACACTCATGTCTTCGGCACGCCGTCCATCGTCATGTAGATCAGTCCGGCCCAAAGAAGACAATTGCATTGCCAACCAACAGAATGGAACACCATTTTTCCCCGCAGGTGACGAGCCAGAGTGAACTGGCCTGGCTAGTCCAACAACTCGCCGCACCTCGATGACGACGACGCTCAGCATCCCTACCAGGGAGCTTCCTCATAATGCCCAGTGCAATGTAAGGTGGCCATGGCGCTCAGAAACGGAGGAACAATTGCAAATACAACGCGAACATATTTGATATTGCCTACTGCAGCCAACATGTTCAAACAATAGGACCAAATCCCAGTATGGCCTCCATGGTGTTCACAATCGCTTCATGTTTTCAAGCGGGATAGATGTTACGGCCGGCTTTGTCATGCGAACAACCCATCTTTTGTACTCTTCATTCCATTTCAGTATTTCCGCGAATTGGTTATTGAAGGCTTTTCCGGCTGCCGTCGTCACACCAACAATCTGAATCTTGTCACCAACCTTAAAGTCGCCCTGGCCATCGCCATCTGTTCTCGCACGCTTTGCAGGGGGCTCGCAAGCGGCATCATGCTTAATCTCACTCAGATCAATGTCATAACCAACTACTGTTGCGATGCGGATGAACTCCTCTTTGGTCACCTCACCGTCCTTGTTCTGATCAAACTTCCGGAAAAGACTATCGACCTGAGCATCATCGTCCGATCCAGCCTTTAGTGCAGCAATCTTCTTCTCTAAGTCCTTTATGCTTTTCTGCTTCACGAGGGTGTACAACCTTTTGGCTTCCTTTTTGTCCATTTTGCCGTCGTTATTCTGATCAACCTCTTTCCATACTTTCTCAGCTTCCTCTTCAGTGAGCTGTGTCCCCAGACGTTCCACGATACTGGCAGCCTCAGAAGAGAATCCCCCACCCATGGCGGAATGCAAAACCGATACGCGCAGACACACGCACACACACACACACACGCGAGCGCTCACGAGCTGGCAAGGCTTGCTTGCTCAATGAACCCTTTGAGATGTCAGACAATAGCTTGACCCAAAACTGCAGCGGAAGATACGACCAGTGCCAACGTGATTGATCATGAAGACGCGCGGTATGGACACAAGAGGCTTTGGACGCCGCCAGTCCTAAGGGTACCCTGAGAGGCTGCCCAGCGAAAACGGCAAAGGACGGGCCGAAGAGGCGAGGACGGGAAATCGCGTGCCCTTTACCACGTGCGTTGACTGCGCTGGGAACACCGCCGAGGGGACGCGGCGTCCCACCTCCCGGTGCAACGCTCTCAACGAACACGAGGAGGTGGAGACGGCCCCCGCCGCCGCCGCCGCCACGCAGGCGTCCGCTCACGCCTGGGCGCATCTGAGAGCATGCTGCGGAAGAGGTGCGGATGGGGAGGGGAGGATCGGTCACACACGCAAGATCGCCCCCGTGCAAGAGGTGGCCCTTGAAGGGCGCGCCTTCCGGCGGGGCGCGGGGGAGCCCACGGCCCGAGCGCCGTTGGCCGCTGCTGCTGCACCGCGCTCGGCGGTCGGAAGACCTCGGCGGGCCCGCACCAAAGGCCACTCCGGCGAAGGACCGCTACGACGCGTGGCCGAAGGGGGGGGAGGGGGGGACGGGGTGCCCGGGAGCCGGGCGGCCGACGAGGCGGCGGAACAGGGAGGGAGGGAGGGAGGGAGGGAGGGAGGGGGAGGACAGGGGAGGGGAGGGGAGGGGGGAAGGGAAGGAAGGGGAGAGGATGAGGAAAGGAGGAGGAGGAGGAGAAGGAGGAGGAGAAGGAGGAGGATGATGCCTCGTGGCACGGGCGGGGAAGAATGAGGAGGATGACCAAAGCAAGCCCAAAGACCCAATACCGATGTTGCGATAAACCTTCTCTCCAAATTCCATCTTCAAAGGCCCCTACACAGACTTGTTTTCACGGAGGGAACTGCCCCGTTGGAAAACAACCCTCTGAAAAATCCAGAACCGTGCCACATCACGATTCCTGGGACTCCAACACCGAGAATCAACGCTACTGTTGCGTCATGACGATCCGGAATCGTGCCAGACCACCATTCCTGAGACTTCAGCACCGCGAGTCAACGTGACTATTGTGCACTCGCAATCCGACATCGTGCCAAAACACTGTTTCTAGGACCTCAGCCATTCGAATCCTTGGGAATATGGTAGAACCCTTAAAACAAATGAGCGCGGCACTAAGGCGAGAACCACATTTTGAAAACAGCCTGCCCTCCATCCGCGAATCAGTTGCAAATTTCAAGCTTAAGAATCATAAGCTGCGAAGAATTCTCACGAGAAGCGCATGGCGTGCCCTACCGACACGTCTCGGGGTGCGACAGGCAGGAATTGTTCATAAGGAAACAAGATTGAAAAGGAGAAGGAGGAGGAGGAAGAGGAGGAGGAGGAGGGGGAGATGGAGGAGGAGGAGGAGGAGGTGGAGGAGAAGGAGGAGGAGGAGGAGGAGGAGGAGGAGGAGGGGTCGCGAGCCCCTGAAGCGACGCGCCGAGTCGGGGTTAAGGGATGCGAGAGCGACAGGATAAAAGGATAGCAGGCACAATCGAGCACAGAGCGGTGCGCGACCCCAGGGCACTGTAAGCCCCGCCGAGGCCCCACGGCTGTGGCGAGAGGTCCCGAGGGTGAAGAAACGCCCAGGATCGGGGGCGACGCCGAAGCGACGGAGGAGGAGAATGAGGAGGAGGAGGAGGGGGAGGAGGAGGAGAACGAGGAGGAGGAGGAGGAGGAGGAGGAGGAGAAGAACGAGGAGGAGGAGGAGGAGGAGAAAGAACAGCAAGACGAGTAGGAAGAGGGAGACGACAGGGAAGACTAAGGAGGGCGAAGAGCTCGACGCGGCCGCCCTGCGCCGGGTCCTTGACAGCGGCAGCGCGTCGTCGACCCACTCGAGGCCCCCCACCTGTACCGCGCCGGGCCGTGGGGGCTGCCAGAGATCGCGCGGGCTGGGCAGCTAGGGCAGTGCGACGAGTGCTGGTTTGAAAACGGTACATACAAAGAGGGAGACAGAGAGAGAGAGAGAGAGAAAGAGAGAGTGAGACGAAGCCAGGACGAGGGTAAATGCGGGTGAGGACGGATCGAGGATCTTTGAGATCCGGCGGCTCTGGAGGATTATCGGGCGCCGCGGCCTTCTCAGAGCGGTCCAGAACGCTCTGAGAGCGTTCCGGAAGGCCCTTCAACGGATATATCCTCGTCCTAGCCCCGTCCGAGAGAGAGAGAGAGAGACACAGCCGCAAGCGCTTCAAATGCGATGGCCTCCAGGAAGGCCGGATTGGCGAATTGGGCGCCAAGCGTCGGGAAGCGTCATCGCACTCGCGCCAACTACGACTTATATCCCCATCTTCAAACCTGTTCCGTATCTCAGGAGCCTGACTATATCGCTCTATGTGCCCGATCTTGTATAACTGGAACGACGAGGAAGAAGTCGAAGAAGCAACACCATCTTCCCATAGGGTGAAACATCCTGGTCGACACCAAACGGGGTACATGAGATTTCCCTGCGATTGTTTCGACCAACGCTCATGATTACGCCCTTTCTGTTGTGTTGTCTGCCTAGCTTTTATGTTTACATCCTCGCAATCTTCCAACCCGCCACCTGTTGTTCCGTGAAGTCCTGCTCATGGCCAAGGGGTAATGTGCACACACGCAACGAATACGTACGTGTGAACGTGTGGGTACATCCACATACGGATGCACACTATCTGGTCGGACATCGAAGCGGCGCGCATTACCCCTCCCTCTCTCTATAGATATATATACACATATATACAAGTTGAGCTATGCTTGTAGTTGTGTGCACGTACGCATGCATGTACGTTTACCTGCATGAGTATATCTATACATGTATACATACTAATATATATATACATACATATCTATATTTACGTAGGTGCGTTTGCCTGTATACGCATCTACGCACAGAGAGGGAGAGAGGGAGAGACCACGCGAGCGAGAAAGAGAGATAGAGCGAGAGAGCGAGAGAGAGACATGGAGAACGGGAGGGAGAGAGAGAGAGAGGGAGAGATAGAGAGAGAGAGAGAAAGAGAGAGAGACACAGAGCGAGAGAGAGGGAGAGAGATATATCGAGAGAGGAAGGATCTGTATGTATATATATATATATATATATACACGCTGATTGTCTGGAACAGATCGAGAGACACATCCACATCGTGAAACCATACCTGTATGTAAACGAAAGAACACATATATACACATACACATATATATACACACATATATATACATATATGTGTAAACACAGAAAGAGAGCGCGCGAGAGATACAGAGAGAGAGAGAGAGAGCGAGACGGGGGGGAGAGAGAGGGAGAGAAGAACAACCACGAGAGAGGACGAGAGGGAGACGAGCGAGAGCACGAGAGAGCGAGCCAGAGAGAGTGAGAGAGAGAGAGAGAACGGTTCTGCAGTATTTACCCCCCATCCCACAATGATAAGCACACGCAGCGGTGCTGTTTCTCACATCTGCCGTCTGTGCCCGTCACCGTGCACCCCTGGTGCATTCAGGCATGGTTGAACGCCAACTGCTCTCTGGCAGGGTGCTTCTGTAGTCCTCAACGGGGATCTCCACCCTCCTCCTTGCACTTCCCTCCTTGCATCCACCCCAGCCCCCCTCTCGAAGCTCCCTGCGCTGCCAGCGTCTCCCTGGGTTTACACTGGTCCTCCTACTCCTCCTCCTCCTCCTCCTCCGTCTCCTCCTGCTCCTCCTCCTCCTCCTCCTCCCCCTCCTCCTCCTCCGTCTCCTCCTGCTCCTCCTCCTCCTCCCTCCTCTTCCTCTCCTCCCTCCTCCTCCCTCTCCTCCTCCTCCTCCTCCCTCTCCCCCCCTCCTCCTCTCCTCCTCCTCCTCCTCCTCCTCCTCCTCCTCCTCCTCTCCTCCTCTCCCTCCCTCCCTCCTCCTCCTCCTCCTCCTCCTCCTCCTCCTCCTCCTCCTCCTCTCTCCTCCTCCACCTCTCCTCCTCCTCCTCCTCCTCTCCTCCTCCTCCTCCTCCTCCTCCTCCTCCTCCTCCTCCTGAGCCTCCTCCTGCTCCCCCTCCTCATCTCCTCTTTCTCCTCCATCCTCCCCCTCAAGACTCTCCAGTCAAGCCACAAATTCCGCCCAGATGGTCAAGCAGCTTCCGAGACGGCCCATGCTGGCCCCAAGACGTCCTACGATGTCCTCCAGCCTGCCCAAGGTGCTCAATAGACGGCCCCAGCATGCTCCAAGAGGCCACTGTCATTGTTTCTGCTTAGGAGTTTGATGGATTTGTACATTCTCACCTTTTCGGGTTCCTCTGAGCTAAAGACGGCGCCCAAGAAACCTCCACGATGGCCCCCAAACGGCCCACGAGAACCTCAAGCGGGCTCTGCGACGGCTCAAGACGGACGGTGCCAATCTGGCCCAATAGCGGTCCAAGACAACCCCACGTCGGCCTAAGCGGTCCCTCAGACGGCCCTCAAGCTCCCCAAGAGGGCCCAAGGGGCCGCACAAGATGATCTGAAAGCGCCCAGGTGGCCCAAGAGCATCCTTAGGCGGCCCAAGGAGCCCTCAGAAGCCTCCGATGCCCTAAGAGGCGCCCAAGAGGCTCCCAAGAGGCACCCACAAAGCCTCTAGGGCCTTCGAGATGCCTGAGGTGTCACACGTAACGGCCTCCCTTGCCCCCTCGAATCGCCGCCACCCAGAATGCTGCGCTGGCACGGTGGCGGAATTGCCAGAGGCAACTGGATGCACACACACACAAACACCTATACACGTGTGTGTGTACACACAGATCTTCTGGAACCATCGCACGCGTTCAAAGTCTCCTGGCAATGGGGCCAAACGCGTAGCGCGTCAGAGGGACCGTGTCCGGATGATCTGGTCCTTGGAGAGGAGGGATGGGGTGGGGGAGGGAGAAGGGAGGAGGAAGCAGGGGAGAGGAGGGAGGGGTAGGGGAGGGAGAGGGAGAGGGGGAGGAGGAGTCAGGAGGAGGGCGAGAAAGAGGATGCGGAGGAGTGAATGGGGAGTGTTGGTGTCCCTTCTGGAATGGAGGTGGCTTCGATTTGAGGCG